GAGTGCCACCGATTCAGGTTGTTCACTGAAATCTCATGTCCAAGTTAAATTTTAGATCACAAGAGTACAGCATTGGTCCATATATAGTACAGTAGGTACTTTTGGTTTCCCTCATGTTTGTCTTTGACCCAATTCATTCACGCTTTGATTTACCATCGCATGTTAATGTGAACCGAACATCGAAAGACTGACCCACATACTGTAACAATAAGCGCCTCTCTTCTTCTCAAACGAAGAAAGACCAGATCACAAAACACCATCGAGGACCAGCCATGACAAAAAAACTCTTTGAATTGCAATGCTTGTGGCGCAACATCTATCGCAGACGGCTCTTGCTTCTGCTCCACTTGTGGTAGAAGCATGGCACTGGAAGCATCCGTCCAGCACCAGAGGAGGTTATACTACTAGTACTACTACGACGAGCGACTACTAGCTAGTAAACACAATGGATACTCCTACTACGCCAAGAACTGCAGAAGCATTGCCGCTTTTGGAAGTGCAAGCAATTCCACATGAATCATCTATTCATCGCCATCCCATGCCGCTACATACACCAAGTACAGTCGACGACAACGGCCCAACTCCCAATGTATACATACAGTACTGCTGCCCTTTCTTGATTACTACCGGGATACTAGACTCATTCGACCCAAACGGTCGATGCACTGACCACAGCGAACCCAAAACCTCAAACTCAAACCTTTGACAAGTAAAAATATAAGGTTGCCTCTGACTTTACTGTACGCATTCATTACCACCACCATAACAAGCATACATATACATAGGTATATATGTATATTATAGAAATATGAAGCAACCATGCATTGATAGTACCTTTTACATCTTGCTTATTGGGGTTGCTGCTACACAAAATACTCTTGCCTGGACGACTTTACCCTCCACCAGCAAGAACCTTCCTCATCGTTGCGCCCAATCCCAACGATGGAGCTACAACAAGAATCCAGACGACAACAATGAAATGGACGAGGCAGATTTAAATATCTTTTCCATGGGTGATTTATTTCGAGATGGTAGTTTTGATCCTGATGGTAGTTTCGATGCGGATGATTTTCAAGACATTGCGTCGTCGTTGTCGTCGTCGTCGTCGTCGTCGTCGTCCAATAATCTTGACGACAACAACAACAACAACGAAATGGACGAGGCAAATTTAAACCTCTTTTCCATGGACGATTTGTTTACAGATTTCAATGATGATGCTGCTGATGCTACTACTGCTACTACTGCTACTAGTAGTACTACTACTAGTTTTGATGAAGAAACAATGTCGTCACTGTCATCGTCATTGTCGTCCAGTACGAATACGAATCCTTATATTAATAATGACAACAACAACAACAACAAGAATGATGACATAGTGGACATAGTGGACAATCCAGGATCCCTGCAGCGACTGGCCCGAGGATCGGACAATACCGTGTGGGCCAATTCCATCAACCTGAGGAAGGAGCGATCTTCGTATGGTCAACTTGACGCCGAAACTCTGGCCAAGATGCAAGAAATTGCCGAACAAGAAGAAGCCATGAAAGAAAAGACGAATAATGATGGCAACAACAACAACAGCAACAACAACAATTACAACAACAAGAATGATTACGAATCATCAGCATCAGCATCAGCATTGCAACAACAAGACGAAGTGCGGAATGCTGAATTGGAGGAAATCATGGGAGAAGATTATCAAGATCTTTCCTTCTTTTTAAGTGAAGACGATTACATGAGAGCTTCCAGGTCCATCAAAGCGGATGGTTCCCTGCCCGAGTACATTTTTGAAGAATCTACTATTGATGATATTTTTGGTAATACTAGTAAGGAGACGAAGAAGCAGCAGCAGCAGCAGCCTGCTGCTGCTAGACCCAATAATATGGCAAACTCAAGAGCAAACGGAGCACTATCGTCAAACGCAAAATTTGATAATGATGACGACGACGACGACGATGACGACGAAACGAGCATGCGCGAATTGATGAACATGCTGAAACAAAAAGAATCGATACCCGAAACAGATGACAAATTGCAAGCCAAGGAGATTCGAGATCGAGTCTTTAGTCAAGAAGAAACCTTTGCCAGTCAGCACGTCGATTCAGACGAATACAAATTGTACGAAGAAGCCATTACCACTGGACTACTGAACAAGGACCAAGGTGGTGGTGGTGGTGGTGGTGGAGACGAGGTGGATCAGGCATTGGAAGGGCTCCAAGAAATGATCAATCAAAAGTACAGCACTGGTCGCGACGCACAACCACAGCAACTATCTGCAAAGAGTGAGGATGATTACATTAGTAGTACTAGTACTACCAAAGAGTGAGGATGATTACATTAGTACTAGTGCTACTACTACTAGTAGTACTAGTACTAGTACTACTACTACTGAGGGAAATCTGGAGGAGGATGGTGAGGAGGAGGACGAGGCATCATCTTTGTCATGACGTGATATATAGCCGGCGCGCTGGATGATACTATAGGTACACTACCGTATAGAAAGGAATAAAGAAATAAAAAGATTCCAAGATAGTTCTTGTTCAGTCTGATTGATTGATTGATTGATTGATTGATTGATTCCAACTCTACCGGTATATATCATGACATTCCAAGTGAGACTGACAAATGATGGAATATACTACAGTATAATCCTACAATATTAAAATAATACTTGGAATGTAATGTTGTGGTTTAGTTTTTTTGATGATACCCCCTTGGAATTGATAATAATATACTACGAGTACATTACTCAACGTTCTGTAATGTATGTAGAATGCATGTCTGTGTATCATTGTCTTACTTGATGGGACTGACCTTGGGTGGTTGTGGTGGATCCTCCTCCATGTCATTGCCGTCCAATTTTTGCTTTTTGGCTAGAGACGACGACGACGATGATGATGACGACACACCCGTCGATCCAAATCCACCGGCACCCCGTTCCGTAACATCCATTTCTTCGTCTTGTCCCACCTCCACAATGGGCGCCATGACAATTTGTTCCAATACCAACTGGGCAATCCTGTCACCCTCCTTGATTTGGAAATCCTTGTCGCCCAAATTGAACAAGACGACGCCCACGGGACCCCGGTAGTCGGCATCCACGACACCGGCGCCCACGTCAATTCCGTGCTTGACCGTCAACCCGGAGCGAGGGGCGATCCGGCCGTAGGTACCCTTGGGACAGGCGATGCAAAGGTCGGTTCGGACCACCGCACGGCCCTGGGGTGGAATGGTTTTGGGTTCGGCCGCATACAAGTCGAGTCCGGCGGACCATTCGCTGCCGCGAGTGGGCAGAATGGCCTTGTCGGAAAGCTTCTTGATGCGAAGAGAGGAAGATGCTTCGTTGTTGTTGTTGTTGTTGTTTGTCATTTTGTGGCAAGTTCTTCTTGTTTTGGTGGAGTGATAATAATAATAATAATGTTGATGGTGTTCTTGTTGATGGTGTTCTTGTTGATGTTGATGGTGATGGTGATGATGGTGATACGAAAGAAAGCCTAAAGAGGAAGGAGAAAAGAGCAAAGCAGAGGCAGTTGCAGCAGCAGCAGAGATTCGATACTTCAATTTCAGTTTGAAGAAAATATATGAGGAAGCAGCCAAACGAGATTGGGAGCTACCAAGCATATAAAAAATGACACGAATGATGATGATGCCAAACCCAACTATTTTCTACAGATCCGGGTGGATGGATGGACACTACAATAATATATGTACCAATGCTACACAAATGATCGTAGCACAATTTGGTTCGCGCCAAAAGAGATCTTGTCTGGATTTGGCACGAATCCTACCAGATATGCGCTGTACAAATAGTCGTAGACCAAGATTCGAACGAGTTGAAAATTGAAAATAACCGTCGCACAGTGGAGCGGCATGCAGGCAGGCAGTGTGTAGGTACACTATCGATCATCAATCATCAATCATCAATCATCATCAATATACAGTACTGCATACAATCGAAACTCCCATCGGATAGCTACTGTACTGTACTGTACTGTACGCACCTCTCTCTCTCTCTCTCTCTCTCTCTTAGAAAGAATCGTTTGGGTGCGTGTTTGTAGACAACCACAACAGCATTTTTTTAAAATAAAAATTCAGCACAGTAGTAGGAAGAATGGAAGAAGCCAGTTTTATGGAACACGTCCGAACGGCGCCGTCAGACGACAAACTATTTCAAAATCCTTTAAATGATGATGATGACGACGATGATGAGGATGAAGATGATGAAAGCTTTGTGCCCGATTCGTTGCGAGCCTTTATGGAAGACGCCAATGCCAAATTGGATGCGGATTTGAGTGATATTTTGAATTCCGACAACCTCAAAAACAAGACATCATCAGCAGGCAATAACAATAACAATAACCATCATCATTGGATGGAAGACGATGATGATACTGACATGGACGAGGATCCTCCCGCTCCTCAAATGCCCGACATGGATCATGTCAATAGCCTATTAGCATCCACAATATCATCATCATCATCATTAACAACAGCAACAACAGCAACAAGAAGTCAATCAGATGGAATTCAAATCAAGAACAGCAACAACAACAACAACAACAGTAGTAGCATTAGCAGCAACCGCAAGCTGATGGTACCACCACTCCAACAACAACAACAACAACAACAATACGAGGAGCCACCTGAAGAAGAAGACGAAGAGCCGATATTGTCACGGATCCAACACATTATAAAGGATGTGGATCCAACAACAACCATGCAAGACGAAGAAGAAGACGCGCCAGCAGCAACAACAAACGCACAAGACAAGCCGTTTGCACAACTAACGACCCGGGATTTGTTGCAACCCAAACCCATTCCGGATCCCAATGCTCTTGACGATTGCACTGACGATACTGAAACCGACGAAAATTCCAATTATGTTCGTGACAATCAATTCTTCAAGGATATTTTGAAACAAGAAGAAGACTTGTCCTTGAAGCATAATCTCATGATGGGATTGTTGGACGAAGATGCCGCACGGGAAAAACAATTCAAAGAAGAGCAACGTCG